CAAAGAGATGCTCGTGTGTGTGCCAGGAGGGTGACCTTGCCCTCTTAGGAAAGCTGGCATGCTGTTACTGCCTAGATTCCTAAGAGCCTTCTGGCCTCAACCATACTCATCACCCCAACCCCTACAAGAACAGGGTCAAGGCCAGCCAGGTGGCATGGTGGTTACGTTGGCCAGATCCCACATGGCCAACTGTGCGATTCTAGTCCTGGGCCCTGTGGCTTGAAAAACACACTGAGGGGCCAACAGGTGGCATGGTAGTTAAGGTGCTAGACTCCCACGTGGCCAAGTGCAGTTCGAGTCCCAGACCTCAGCTGGTTTTCTCTCTTTCCTTCTCTACACCAACTACTCCTCAGGCTTAGAGATGGTTCCGTAACGTTCTCAGAATCACACTGGTAGAAAGTGCTACTGCCAGACATTAAGCCTGAGGCTCATTAGCTCCTGTTGTGCTTACAGTAAGAGCAATCAGCAGAAAGCGCATCATCTTTTTATTTTCTTTCCCCTTAATTTTACTAGAAGGCATATGTGCTCACCAGAGAGAGATGGGGAGGAGAGGAGAGATGAGAAAGCAAGCCCCAGGGTGGCCATAACGTGACCCTTCTCCTCTTGGGTTTTTGGACAGGCACACACATGTGCCTGATGGGTTTTTCTCTCTCTCTTTTTTTTTAATAGAGATTTTTACTATAGGGCACGTGCGCTTGCTGGAAAGACAGAGAGAGACAGAGAGACAGAAAGCAAGAAATCACCCCCCGGGGGGGATGGCCACGCCGCAATCCCTTCTCCTCCATTCTCCTCTCAGGATCTTGGGCATGCACGTACACACGCCCGGCATGAGTTCAAGCCACCAGGTCTGGGCCTCAAACTACAGTCAACTATGCGAGAGTCCAGCAACGCCATCTGCTGGCCCCCTGATGTGTTTTTCAAACTGTCTGGTCCATTACTTTTTTTTAAAAAATTATTTATTTTTATTTATTCATTCATTTATTTTAATTTGACCAGAGGCAGACAGAGAGAGAGAAAGTGAGAAAGCAAGCCGCCAGGTCCAGGACTCTAACCGCGGTCAGCCAGGTGGGAGTGTGTGGTGCCTTAACCACCACTGCTGGTCCCCCGCATTACTTTTTTTTTTTTAGAGGTTATTGCTTTAGGGAGGGTGCAGTCACTGGGGAAAGAGAGACAGAGACAGAGACAGTGGGAGGGAAAGTGAGAAATCACCCCTCAGGGGAATGGCCATGACTCAGTCCCTCCTCCTCCATTCTCCTCCTGGGATCTTGGGCACACATATGCACCCAGTGTGATTTTCAAACCACCAAGTCCGGGACTCTAACAGTGGTCGGCCATATGGGAGCCCAATGACATAACTACTATGCTCTCTGCTGGCCCTGGTCCAGGACTTGAACCTGTATTAGCCTGTGTGTGATCCGGCCACCTTAACCACCCTCCGACCTGCTGGCCCCAAAAGCTCATTACCTTGGCTAAGAAGTTATGTTTTAGCCAGTTCCGGACTGGGCCAAGATGGCCGCTCCAGGTCTGTCTCTCCCCCTGGTCGGTAGGTTCCTTATCTCAGAAGGAGCCACATTTTCTCCTGTTACCTTCTCCTCAATGCCAGCATGGCCCTGCCATACACAGGCACACGTGTGTGTCCGAGAGAATTAGCCCGTGAGGATGCTCTCAGGGGCGTCAGACACACCCCGGTTTCAGTCCTGGCTCTCACTGTGTGACACTGGCAAGTTACTTAACGTCTCTGTTCTTCGGTTATTATGCAATCAGGGGATTTTGGCATTTAATCCTTCAGGTTGCTATGTCCTCATGAATGCGAAGAGTTTGGGAACAGGAGCTGGCTTACGGAAGGGCAGGGGAAGGGCTGTGCATTTTGTGAGTGAGCTCCCCGTGAAAAGTCTGGGCAGGGATGTCTGATAGTCCCGGAGGCCCCGACTGCACTAATTATAGTGCTGTAGTTTGGGACCTGGAATTGCTGATATGCTTCTTACTCTTTTTTTTTTTTTCTTCTTTAAGATTTTTGTCACAGAGCATGTGTGCTTAGTGGAGACAGACAGAGAGAAAAGGCGAGAAGGAAAGCGAAAAATCACCCCCAGGGGAGATAGCAACAATGCAATCCCTTCTCCATTTTCCTCTCAGGATTTTGGGCACTACAGCAGTCGCCCAACTTGACCGCTGTGTCTGGGACTTGAACTGTGGACAACAATGTGGGAGCCCAGTTCCTTAACCACCGCGCCTCCTGCTGTTCCCCCACACACACACACTTCTTTTTTACTTCACATTATTTCATTTCATCCTCACAGGTATTATTATACTCTCCCCGTTTTACAGATAAGTCAGGCACAGAGCCGTTTCGTCTCTCGTCCAAGGTCTAGGTTAAAGCCAGTCTACGGGACTGTGGGCAATGAACCAACGGGAGAGAGCTCAGAAGGGACCAGATCCTTCCGTGTCAGCTCTCCTAGGAGTCCCCTGGGACGGGCGACGGCTGCAGGCTGCACAGGCCAAACGTGCTGTGGGTCCCGCGCTCAGAGGCATCTGGGCGCCGCCCGCCTCCGCCCCGCCCCTTGTCCTCGGGTTGTCCAATCCCACAGTCCTCATGTAAATGAAGCACCTAGACGGAGCCTATGAGAGAGCGGCAGGGGCGTGGTCTGCCGTTCACCTCCTGGGCTACGTTCTGATTCATTGTTAAAATAAAGAGACCGTGACCCCTGGCACTGGCGTCCCAGCAGCCCCCAAACGTGGAAACCCGAGCCGAGGTTAGTACGGGGCTGCGGAAGAGAGAGGATGAGGGGAGGCCTAAGGGAGGCATAGGGGTCGAGGGGTACCGGGCGGAACTGGCTGGCTGGCAGGATGGAGGCAGGTCCAGGGGTCCATTCTGCGGGTGGGGCATGCGTAACCGCCCAAGGCTTTTCGTCGTTTTATATCCACATCCAAAGTGCATTTTAGAGCATTCTGCCAGTTGGTTGGGAGTAGGGAAGGAAACGGGAGCAGCGAGGGGCTAGTGAAGTAGAGTTCCTCCAGCACCAGCCCCCAGGGAAAGGAGCGCCGTTCTCTGGCAGAGATGCTCCTTTATGTGGCCTGCCTGGGAGAGAGCCGCCCAGGCCGGGCGGAACCAATGCATCCCCCTTCCACCACTGGAGCGGGGATCGGTATGGGGGCGACGACAACCCAGGGAGGACCTGAGATCCCAGGGCCACCCACAGGCCAGTGGGTGCCACTGCCCCCATACACATACTGCGCTCTGCCCTCACACTTCTCCCCACTCCCGCATCCCCCCCAACCCCTGCTCTGTCCCCTCTCCAGATCTGATGGTGGATGAGCAGGAGCCAAGCCTTCACCCTGGCCCTCCTGGGGAGGACGAAAATTCTTCACTCACTCTCAGCCAGCTTTGGCAAAAAAGGTCACTTTGGAGGAAATTCACCAGGTGAGGACAGGTGTGGGCAGATGGCCTGAGGTTTTGAGATGCTGGATTCCTGCCACCCCCCACCTTCCTCTTGGGGCTCTGTATGGGTGAGGAAGGCATCTTTATGTGACTCCAGGTCAGACACTTGAAGCCCCCAAGACCTCCAGAAGGAAGAGCCCTGGGTTCAAGTCAAGGCGCCAGTGTTTCTTTTTGGCTAAACCACCACACACTTGCTATGTGACCTTAGGTTGTTTACTTTTGTTCAAGACTTTGTTCCCAACTCTGAAAATACTTGGCTAGCCCTTTGCCTCACTCCGTTTCCCCAAGGACCAGTGTGATTGGCAGTGTGATCCAGTGGCCCTCAGGAGAGCAGAGAGACACGCAGACCTGAATTTGAACCCCGCTCAGCCACTGGTCCTTGAGTTAGAGACTTTCCTGAGCCTTAGTTGCCTGACCTGAAATTGTCTAAATTGATCTTTTTTTTTTTGGAGAGGTTTTGGCTATAGGGTGCATGCACTCGCCAGACAGACAGAGACAGAAAGCGAGAAATCACCACCCAGGAGGGATGGCCATGCCGCAATCCCTTCTCCTCCATTCTCCTCTCAGGATCCTAAAAGAAGGAAGAGCCCTGGGTTCAAGTCAAGGCGCCAGTGTTTCTTTTTGGCTAAACCACCACACACTTGCTATGTGACCTTAGGTTGTTTACTTTTGTTCAAGACTTTGTTCCCAACTCTGAAAATACTTGGCTAGCCCTTTGCCTCACTCCGTTTCCCCAAGGACCAGTGTGATTGGCAGTGTGATCCAGTGGCCCTCAGGAGAGCAGAGAGACACGCAGACCTGAATTTGAACCCCGCTCAGCCACTGGTCCTTGAGTTAGAGACTTTCCTGAGCCTTAGTTGCCTGACCTGAAATTGTCTAAATTGATCTTTTTTTTTTTGGAGAGGTTTTGGCTATAGGGTGCATGCACTCGCCAGACAGACAGAGACAGAAAGCGAGAAATCACCACCCAGGAGGGATGGCCATGCCGCAATCCCTTCTCCTCCATTCTCCTCTCAGGATCCTAAATAGATCTGTTGATACCATGCAAGGTAGCTGTGAGACCAGGGAATTCAAACTTCGGGGTACCCTGGAATCACCTAGGTGCTTGTTTAAATGTAGATCCCTGGGCCTCACATCTGGAGATTCTGACCAGATGAGTCCAGAGAGGAACTGGGAGCCTGCGTTTCTACGCGCAACCCAGCCGTGTATGCAGGGTTCTTGGCGTGCACGTCATGCTGCACCGCAGTGAGAACCAGAAGCTGCACATCTAGTGCTTGGCAGAGTGCCTGGGTGCTTAGTAGGTGCTTAGTGAGTGCTGAGAGATTAGATGGACAGATGAAGGGGTAGATAACCTTATTTCCTCAGTCTTCGTCTGGCTGGGGGCCCTGGGACTGGGATCCGGGGGGGTGGGGAGCCAGTCATCTGTCCGGTCCTTGTCTCCTCCCACCCCCCCATTCTCCCTAGACCCCTTCCAGAGGCTCAGCCCTCAGAGTGCAGGAGCTGCCTGGCCTGATTCACCCGATATGGAGGAGGAGGCTGGGGATGCCCCACGGGAGCGCTGTGACGTCCACGTGCTCACCCAGAACAGCTGTCAGCACTGCTTCTACCCTGAGGAGGCCCTCGGGGCAAGGCACCAGGTGGGCCCGCTTTCCTGAGTGGTTGGGGTGTTTAGGGAGGGGGCAGTCAGTGCTGGGCTCATCCTGGCTGGTAATTTGTGGGTGTGCCCAGACACTAGCCTTCCTCCTGGCCGGTGGCTCAGTTGTACCATCTGTATGATGAGGGGACCCGGCCATGATGAGGTTCCCAATCTTCAGTCACTTTCCTCCTGCTTCCTGACTCTCCCCAGAGCCTTGGCTAATCTGTTAGGTCATCAGAAAGTAATGACGTATTTTTCTATGCAAAATGCATCATGGCTTTCCTGACAACCCAGTATTTCTTACTTCATTTTTGTTTGTTTGTTTGTTTGTTTGTTTGTTTGTTTGAGAGATTTTTGCTATAGGGCGCATGCACTCACAGGAGAGACAGAGAGACATAAAGCGAGAAATCATCCCCCAGGGGGAATGGCAGTGCCACCATCTCTTCTTCTCCATTCTCCTCTCGGGACCTTGGGCACACATGCATACACACCCAGCGTGATTAAGTCATTAGGCCTGGGACTCGAACCACAGTCAACTATATGGAAGTCCAGCAATGTAAGCATTATGCCATCTGCTGATCCCACTTTATTGTTCTTTAAACATTCTTTTCTACTTATGCCGAAACTTTGTGTATGTCACCACCACAAATAGAAGTCTAAGATCATATCCTGCGTGTAGAGATTTAAAGGAAGAAAACGTCATAACGTTCTAACTCCAGAGTGGTGTCTGCACGAGGCTCTGCGCCCAAGTCCTGCTGTCTCTGCCAAAGAGGGAGGTTAGCAGATGTGAGAGGCATTAGAGGCTCACCAGCACTTGCTGCACACTTTCTTCCTCCTCCTCCTCCTCCTCCTCTTCTTCTTCTTTTCCAGAAGGTACATGTGCTCACCAGAGAGAGACAGAAGAGGGAGAAATACCCCTAATGGGGCAGTGACTCTGCAATCCCATCCCCTCCAGTTTGGGATTTTGGCCACACATATGCACCTGGCATGTTTTTCAAGCCTCCGCATCCAGGACTTGAACCACTGGGTTGGCCATGTGGGATCTGGCTATAGACCTAGCCCTAGATTTTCTCGATGTTATTGGCGAGTGAAAGAAGAGTCCTTTCCTCACTTTGTGGTCTGAAGCCAAGCCCTGCATGCCTGAGGCACACACCATGAGAACCCGTGGCCCTGGGGCCCTTCCAGGCCTGACCCCCTGGGATGCCACCGTTCCCAGTGGGTCTGAGGTCCTCTGAGCCTGGCAGCCAGCTTCATGCAGGGCTCAGGCTCTGAGAGGAGCCACACAGAGGTGGGGATGGCCACCCAGCTCTGAAGTCGGGCAGGCCAGAGATCCAGCCCTAGGCTCGTCATTTACCTGCTGTGTGACCTCTGGCTCGCCCTCTCATGGGTAAGGGGTGGCAGCAGGCTTCTCAGGATGTCTGGCACCCTGAGCTGCAGCCATGTGAGCCTCATTCAATACTTGTTAGTTTCCTCTCTTCACCCTCCCTGACCAGAAAAGTAAACCCTGGAGATTCCTTTCCACCCGTCTGTCTTGATACCCCAATAGCAGATCACTTTCCCACACCCCCAATTTCAGGAAACAGCGGCCCCTAAGGGTTGTAAAGTCTGTCTCCCCTGGAAATGACCTGCTCCCGGTGGGTGGGCGCAAGCATGGAAGTGGGGGAGAGCTCTGGGTTCAGACAAGTCTGCCTTCTGGCCTCAGTCCCCCTGCCCAGCGACACCGACACCTTGGGCCAGCTCACATATTTGTGTGTATACAGTAGGTGCATTACGGTAGCTGGTGGGGAGAGCGACGTAGAGAGCAGAGGCATGCCTGCCTTCACGGGGTTTGTGCTTCAGAAGGGAAATGGAGAGTAAGAAGGTAACATGCGGGGCCGGCCCCATGGTTCAAATGCCAGCCCCAGCAGTTTGAAAAACACATGGGGCGGATGTGTGTGTACACCCCACATCCCGACGGGATAGAGAAATGGAGAAAGGATTGCAGCGTGACCACGCCCATTGTGAGGTGAACTTTCCCTCCCTCTCTCCTCTTTCCTAGTCTTTCTGGCAAGAGCATGCACCCTCTGGCAATGAAAAACAAACAACCTTGCAAATGATCCCTTAATCATGGCTGCGATAAATGTGGAAGCAGCCGCATGTGGCATGAAGTGAACCACAGGGCGCTGGGAAAGTTCCTCCAAGGAAGTGGCATCTCACCTGCTTGATAAAGGCTGTTCGGGCCGTAGCTAGGAAGGGAATCATGCGCGCACGGGCCGGAGGCAGGAAGGAGGCTGCACAATGGAGGTCTGGAGAGGGGTCAGTGGGAGGAAGGAGCGAAGCGGCTACTGCACAGGGGTGGGCGAGGGTGGACAGTGGCGGGGCTGGCTCTCAACGGGCCTGGGGTGGCTTCGTGCACACGACGAGGGCTTTGGATTTTATCCCGAGAGTCATGGGGAGCCGCTGAGGGTTCAGTCGAGGGAGTGACGCGATCCGACTGCGTCGTTCACAGTCGCTGTGATTCTGAGCATCCAGGCGCAGAGGCAAGCGTGGTCAGGAGAGCCGTGAGAAGTGCGGGTATTCACCTGTGCCAGGAATGGCGAAGGCGCTGGGGTGGGAGAAGGACCCTCGTCAGGACTGATCCAGCAGGGGAGCCGCAGGATTTGGGGGTGGGCAAGGGAAACCCCGGGACGGACTCTAACTTCCATCTCGAGGCAGGGGAGTTGGGATGGGCAGGCTGCGTGGAGTTGTTTGGGGTGTGGCAAGCGTGAGTGTCTGTGGGACACTGGGGATGAGGGGGAGGTCACCAACCTTACGGGGCTGTTGCTTGGGACAGGGCCCAGGACAGAGGCTGGCCGGCATCAGGCCTGGCTCCTGGACGAGCCACCGTCTGTGGAGAGGGGTGCGGTGAGATAGGGAGGCCTGGGCGCAGGCCCTGGAAGCAGCATGTGAACTCAGGGGTCAGGAGGCAGAGACAGCCAAAGAGACAGAGCTGCTGCTCCAGAGGGCTGGAGGCTGACACCCAGTGGGCCCTCCTGCCTCGGGGGCCAAGGCGAGTGATGGTTTCAGGATCCCAGGGGCCCCTGGGGCTGAACCCTTCGCTTTCTGGCTGCTCTGATGCCGACCCCAGCGGGGAAGCACTCCGGAGTTCTGCAAATGCCTTGGAGCTATGTGGCTCTTATTCCTGAGCCAGGACGCAGGCCCAGCTCGTGGGGACAGTTCCCTGGGGTGTCCTACGTGCTGTGGTAAAACACTAACCCGCAGCCCCCAGAGGGTGGCAATACCTCCTCTGCACTTTTCCGTCTGTCCCGCCCACCTCTGCTCCAGGTGCCCTGTGGTTGGGTATCAAAGGAATGGTGGATTCTCGCAGTGCTCCCCGGGGACTCGTGGGGCCCGGCTGCTGCCTCCCCAGGGGTGGGCCCCCGGCTCGCTGTCTACAGCATCCCCTCCCTCCCCAAATCTGTGATGTAACAAGTGCCCAGGAGACCAAGGTTAGCCCGCTTTCCTCCCAAGGTTTCTGGAACTTTGGCCCCATTTGCTGCTAGATTTAGGTCAAGAGATCTCAAATGTGTGGAGTCAAGATTCCAGTGGCAGGGCCGGCAGGTGGTGTGGTGGTTGAGGTGCCAACTGTGCGGTTCGAGTCTCGGATCCAGTGACAAAAAACACACTGGGCGTGGGACCGGCAAGTGGCGTGGTGGTTAAGGCGCTGGACATTCCCATATGGCCGACCATGGTTCAAGTCTTGGACCTGGTGGCTTGCTTTCTCACTTTCCTCTCTCTCTCTCTCTCTCTCTGGTCAAATTAAAATGAATGAATGAATAAATGAAATGGAATAAAAATAATTTAAAACAAACAAACAAACAAAAACACACCGGGCGTATGTGCAAGCTTGCTCGAAATTCGAAGAGGAGACTAGAGAAGGGATTGCGGTGTAGCCACTCCCCACAGGAGGGCAACTTCTCACTCTAGTGAGAGACAAAACTACAGTAAAACTATAAAAACAAAAAACAAACTAATATATATAGCAAAACTAAAAAAAAAAATTCACGCGGGACTGGCCCGCTGGCCTGTTGATTAAGGCATCTGGATTCCACATGGCCAACTGCAGTTCAAACCCTGGGTCTGGTGGTTTGAAGAACATGCCAGGCACATGTGTGTGCATGCCTCAAATCCCAATGGGATGAAGAAATGGAGGAGAAGGAATTGCAGCATGACCATGCCCCACGGTGGAGGTGCTTTCTCTCTCTCTCTGGTGAGAGCAGATGCCCTCTGGTAATTAAGGAAACAAAACCGCTCTATGATAAAGAAGCACACTCCGCCCTGATGGAACTGCTTGTTCCCAGATGGGTCTCTGGTTACATCTAGGTGCAAACCATGGGCCCGGTACAGGCACTTGCTGGAGCTCAGCTGAGAAGCAGCGTTGGACCCATTCTGGCATCAGCAGCTACTCTAGAATATGCCAGCCCCGGGGTGCCTCCCCTCCTACGCCCCTCCCCTTAGTCAAGTATGACCAACCCTGAAACTGGGCTGGCCTGGGGAGTGCCATCCTCTCTGGGATTGTGGCCGCAGGCTGGTGGCTTAGGGAGGGATGGATCCTGGGAATCACATGGCAGGTCATGTCCAGGTTCCAGAGGAAGGAGGAGGGACTCGGGGTCAGGGTTCTGTATGCTATAGCACCACCATCCTTTTAAAATATGCATTCTTGATGGTATTTAGCACCATTCTACCAATTTTTTTCTTTTTTCTTTTTTTTGGGAGAGGTTTTTGCTATAGGACGTGTGCGCTCGCCAGAAACACTGGAACTGCAGTTGGCCATGTGGGAGTCCATCACTTTAATCGTCATGCCATGGGCTGGCCCCTTTTAAGATTTTTTGCTGGGACCAACAGATGGTGTAATGATTATGTTGCTGGACTTCCCTATGCTGACTGTGGTTTGAGTCCTGGGCCCAGAGGTTTGAAACTTGCCATGTGCGTTTGCATGCATGCCCAAAGTCCTGAGAGGAGAATGGAGGAGAAGGGACTGTGGCATGGTCATTCCCCTATTTTTTTTTTTTTTTTGTGGGGGATGATTTCTCACTTTCTGTCTCTGTCTCTCTGGCAAGCACACATACACTATAGCAAAAGTCTCTAAAAAAGAAAAAAGATTTTTTTGTCATAGGGATAGGGAGCATACATACACTCACCAGAGAGAGAGAGACAGAAACAGAAAGAGGGAAAAATGGGAAATCACATCCCAGGAGGGATGGCCATGCTGCAGTTCCCTCTTCCATCCTCCTGTCTGGATTTTGGGCACACATGCACTCATGCTCTGTGATTTTCAAACCACCGGGTCAGGGACTCGAACTGCTGTCAGTCATGTGGGAGCCTAGTGCCTTAACTACTACGCCACCTGCTGGTCCCTGCTGTAAGCTTTTTATAGATGTTAACTCATTTCATTCCCATAATGGCTCCAAGAGGCAGGTCCTGCTGTGATTGTGCTGGTTTTTTGTTTGTTTTTTTGTTTTTAGATTTTTGCCAAAGGGTGGCGCACTCACTGGAGAGAAAGAGAGAAAGCTAGAAATCAGTCATAGGGAGAATGGCCGTGCTGCGATCCCTCCTCCATTCTCTTCTTGGGATTTTGGGCGTGCACGCACACACACTCAGCGTGATTTTAAAACCACTGGGTCCAGAACTCAAACCACGGTTCACCAAGTGGGAGTCCAGTGCCTTAACCACCACTCCACCTGTTGGCCCTCGTGTCAGTTATAGATGAAATAACTGAGTACAGAGAGGATAAGGCACTGGCCAACGTCTTGGTCACACTTCTCATTTCTGAGATGAGACAACCAGGCTCAGAGAGGGGTAGCCGCTGGCTGAGGCCGCCCCGCTGGGAGCGGAGGAGGAAATCAGAGCTGGGGACTGGCTGCTGGTCCTGCTCGCGTGGGCAGTGGGTGGGGATGGAGGCTGGGAGTGAAGGCAGGGACCAGGTGCCAGATCAGGCTGGGGCTCCCGCTGCGCCTGGGCCAAGACCCTTTGGTGATGCTGGGCAAGCCGCACCCTCCTCTTTCATGCCGTGCGGTCCCCTGGGTGGCTGAGGCGCCAGACTGGGCTGTGGATCTCACACCTCCTGCTGCTGAGCTCTGATCAGAATCTGGCTGCAGGGCGGGGGGCAAAACTGAGCCCCGAGGGGCCTCCCGGCCTGGGTGTCGAGGCAGACACCAGGCCTGCTCCTTGGCACTGTCCAAGCTCTGCCCATGGTGGCCTTCATGGACCCAGAGAGCCTGTGCCCACCCAGCACTGACCAGGCGATAGACTGGCCCTGGGCTTGGGCTGCAGGGTCCCCAGGGAGCCCGTCACAGGCCTGCCGCTCTCGGGTGAGCCTCTGGGATCAGGTTCCCGCGGTTTCATGTCCTGCATTGTTCTTGGCGGGGCCCTGGCTTATGAAACAGTAATGAGGGGCCCCTGCTCCCAAAGCCGGCCGCTCTAAGGTTTCCGCTGCCTGGGCGGCCGCCGCTGCCACTGCCC